CTGCTCCCTTAGGTGTGTCTAAGGTAGACCCTCTCCCTGGTACTGTGCCTATTGAGGTAGCTAGTGACTCAGGTGCTTCTCGAGGTGCTGCGTCTAAGGGTACGGAGCCTGAGGGCGCTCAGTCTGAAGGTGCCGTGTCTAGGGTGCTGAGCCTGGGGGTGCTGAGTCTGGGGTTGCTGAGCTTACGGGTGTGGAGCCTGGAGGTTCTGAGCCTAAGGGTGCAGAGCCTGAGGGTGCGGAGCCTGAGGGCGCTGAGTCTGAGGGTGCCGGGTCTGGGGGTGCGGAGCCTGGGGGTGCGGAGCCTGGGGTTGCTGAGTCTGAGGGTGCCGGGTCTGGGGGTGCTAAGCCTGGGGGTGCAGAGCCTGGGGGTGCTGAGCTTGCGGGTGTGGAGCCTGGAGGTGCTGAGCTTGAGGGTGTTGAGCCTGGGGGTGCTGAGTCAGTGGGTGCGGAGTCTGGGTTGCTGCAGTTGCTGGTCCTGGAGGTGCTCGTACCTGGGGTACTGGAGCTGCCGAGACTCGTAGTGTTGGGGACACTGGAGCTGGAGGAGTTGGAGCTGGAGACCCTGCGGAGCTTGGAGATGCTGGGGTTGGAGGTGCCGGAGCTGGAGGCACTGGCGCTGGTGGCGCTGGAGCTGGAGGAGCTGGAGCAAGAGGCACTGGCGCTGGTGGCGCTAGAGCTGGAGGAGCTGGAGCTGGAGACACTGGAGCTGTTGACCCTGGAGCTGGAGGTGCTGGAGCTGGGGGTGTTGTGTCTGGCGGTACTGGTGCTGGAGGCACTGTGCGGCCACGACCGTACTTCGTTCCCCTGCTTCAGCAGGTTCTTGGTCTCCCCTCTTCTACTGGCCTTACTCCTCCCTTACTGTGTCCACCGCCTGACCAGTCACAGCCGTCGTTACAGCCAGCCTTCCCACTGCCTGCCCCTTCTCCTTACACTGAGCAGCCGGAGGTCTTACAAAGCGTCGTGAGCCTGCGTCTTGTCTTGTCTCGCCTGTTCGCACAGCCCGTCGCGTTCCTCGTTCGTGTCCTCCTCCTGTCCCCGGCACCCACGCTATGGCACTTCGTCCTTCCCCTGTTCCACTGCGTGTTCCTTTGCCGCCTCCTCCTGCGTCCTCTCTTCCTGCCATCCCTGACCCTGCGTCTGACCTCGCTCGTGCTGCCAGTCCCACTGTCTATCGTCTCCTCGACACTATTGTCACTGACCCTTCTTTTGAGTCCACTTCTGCGTCTGCCCTCGTTGCTGAGCTTCTTGACTTTGCTGCTACCTGTCGTCTAGACTAGGCCATTGCTCTTGTTGCTGAGTCCGAGTCTGCCAGTCCTCCGTCCGTCGGGGGTGAGTGTGCTCTTGGCACGGACGTCCTTGAGGACAGGCAAGAGGAATTTGAGTGTCTTGCAGCTGCTGTACCTCGTTTCGCTTCCATGCTGCTTGCCCCTGAGGGAGACCCGGATGCACCAGACATCCCGACCCCACGCTCTTACGCAGAGGCGATTACGGGTCCTTACTCTTCTCAGTGGCAGACAGCCATGGATGCTGAGATGGCATCCTGGAAGTCCACAGGCACCTACGTCGACGCAGTTTCCCCGTCTCGGGCGAACATAGTCGATGGCATGTGGATTTTCAGGGTGAAGCGGCCGCCGGATTCTCCGCCTGCCTTCAAGGCGCGTTACGTTGCTAGAGGCTTCAGTCAGCGACAGGGGGTCGACTACTTCCAGACCTTCTCCCCCACCCCGAAGATGACTACTCTTTGGGTGTTGCTGCACGTCGCAGCTCAGCATGACTACGAGCTGCACTCTCTGGACTTCAGCACAGCTTTCTTGCAGGGCAGCCTGCACGAGGAGATCTGGCTGCACCGCCCACCTGGCTTCACTGGGTCGTTTCCTGCAGGTACCCAGTGGAGCCTCCGCCGGCCAGTCTACGGTCTCCGCCAGGCGCATCGCGAGTGGCACGGCACACTGAGGACTACACTTGCGGCTCTGGGGTTTACTTCTTCCTCTGCTGACCCGTCGCTGTTTCTACGCATCGACACGTCGCTGCCGCCGTTCTACGTCACCATGTACGTCGACGACCTGGTCTTTGCCACTGCTGACACTGAGGCACTGACCCTTGTGAAGTTGGAGCTGCAGAAGTGACACACCTGCACTGACCTGGGTGAACCGCGCAGCTATCTTGGCTTGCAGATCACCCGGGACAGAGCACGGCGCACCATCACCCTGACTCAATCACACATGGTGCACCAGGTCCTTCAGCGCTTCGGCTTCCAGTTCTCCTCGCCACAGCCCACTCCTCTGTCTACCGGCCACTCGCTCTCAGCTCCACCTCCGGACGAGTCCGTAGAGCCGAGTGGTCCGTACCCAGAGCTTGTGGGTTGCCTCATGTACCTGATGACGTGCACACGACCTGACCTCGCATACCCTCTCAGCCTCCTGGCTCGCTATGTGGCTCCCGGTAGGCACCGAAAGGTGCACTGGGATGCTGCAAAGAGGGTATTGTGTTACTTGTGGAGTACGTCGAGCACGGGGCTCGTGCTTGGAGGACGGGGTCCAATTGTCCTCACTGGTCACGCAGACGCTTCTTGGGTTGACTACTTGGCTACGCAGCGGTCGTCACAGGGTTACACCTTCAGCCTCAGTTCCGACTCTGTTTCCTGGCGGTCTACCCGCTCGTCTTCGGTTCTCAGTTCCAGTTGTGAGGCTGAGATCTACGCAGGGGCCATGGCTGCACAGGAGTTACGCTGGCTCACCTACATGCTGACTGACTTGGAAAAGCAGCCTCGTTCGCCTCCAGTTCTGTATGTTGACAACAAGGCCATGATTGCCTTGTGTCAGGAGCACAGACTGGAGCACCAAACGAAGCACATCGCTCTTCGATACTTCCTTGCTCGAAAGTTGCAGCAACGTGGTCAGCTTCGCCTTGCGTACGTGGCCACTAGGGCCAACACTGCTGATATATTCACCAAGGCACTTCAGTCTGGTGATCATCAGCGCTTCTCTACTGTTTTAGGCCTTGTGCCTACTTTGCCTCACTTGCTCACTGTAAGACTTTGCTTGTACTGTGATCTATATATATACCTGCATGCTTACTCTTGCTATGCTATGATCACTGTACTGCTTGTGCTCTTTATATAACACTGCATGTGAACTGGCCTTGTGGCCCTTTGTTTGTGCTCGGACTGTGTGGTGACTTTGTGATCCACCCTGAGCTTGATTTGCTTTTCTTGATTGGTCTTGTGACCACTTGTTCTCCCCCACTTTGCCTATGGGGGTGTGTCATAATGTTATATTGCTTACTTTGTGTCGGCTATAGTGGGGTAGCCCATAAGGGGTACAACCCATTTAGGGTTAGTATTTGTACCCAACTCTTTCTTAGTTCATTCATTCTCGTTCATTCTTCTGATAGTGCGAACTTTTGCCCTGGAGGTTTTGGCGAAGTTCTACCAGCGCAACAGCATCACGTGGTTGACAGTGCGCACCTGGCGAAATCGACGACACGTTTTCTACTTGGCACCTACGCAATGTGCCTGGCGGTGAAACCGTCAACCTGCACCTACTTGGTAGGTGCGCACATCTGCGCAGATAGACAACCTGCGATTGCAGATAGTTACCTGCGACTGCAGAGTCACCTACGACTGTAGTGCTGGCAGACCGCGCGCAATGCAACGCTGGCAGACTACTCAGGCAAGTAGTTACAGTTGCATAGGCAAGTAAGTAGTTACATAGGCACAACGGTATCTCAGTTGCGTTGTAACGTTTCAGTTGCCCTGTTATGGTCGCGCTGGCGCGACTGTTCAGCTTCGGCAAGGGCGCGGTATTGTGCCGCGCACTGCAGGGCGGTTTCGCGTATTGTAGGTGCTGCCCCCTGCCCTATTCGACGCTTCAGCTGCCACGAGGGTCGTAACCACTGTGCGCGGTTGCTCCCCTGTAGCTCGTTAGGTGAGTCAACATTCTCGATACTGAGACACTCGCTGCTACATTTAAAATAGTGCAGTACATATAAAACTTCCGTAAAAACCATATCGTAGCAAGGTTAAATTAGCTCGACCTGACCTGTCTCAAGGCATCAACAATACCCATACGGTATCAATGTTATGCGGCAGTGGATTTTCTTGTGTTGGAAAGTACCGCTATAAACGATCTGCATAGCAACGAAAGACCTTGACTCGGAATAATGAACTTGGTTGATACAATGAGTCAGTCAAAGTGAAGGATGCCTACGGAAGTCTCCTCAGAGCTTGTAATGTACATAAATCAACTTCCTTTGCAACAAACTGCTGCGGGTGAGGCATGCACTGGATTGTTGCGGGCTTTCGGAGTGGGATCCCGTTATGTAATTGGCTGTTGTTTTATCTTTGAATCGAAATAATGGGATTCTGTTTGGGGCATGGAGCATTAGCCAGGAACCCAGAAGTGAGTGTAGCTCGAATCCAGATTCCATTACACTGCGCTGATATTAATGTTATCAACAGAACTCTCTTTACAGAGTCATTGATCGCTGTGATTCTATTCTTTCGGAACCACTAGCTTGCTTATTCACGAATCAGGACACGACTAGAAGACGGTCACTGTCACATGTCTATGTAGTCACACTGCCAACACCCGGTCTAAGCACCGAGCTACAAGCCTCGTCATGAATCGTGGTGTCACATCAGCAAGTTCCCCACCCCTCAACCGAACCGAAACCCCTTTTCTCCCCCGTGGTGCTGCCGTGTTGCCGACCACGTGTGTGAAGTACACCCCGCATACCTCCCCCAAACTGTCGCATCACGTGTATTGCGCGGAGCGACAGTCACTCACAGTCACACCTCCGATTCCGCCGTGACGTCACGTAACTTTTTTGTGGTTCCCAGAGTTGCTTGACCCTCAACACCGCTCCAAACCCTACTCGATCCTGTGTTGCTTGCCACCACGGCTCAGTGTTGCTCCCCTCCATTTCACGCTAAATCGCCCTCTTCGTGCCCTCCTGCTTCATGTTTCCTCCATTTCTTCAACACGCCAGTTTCTGCCACTATGGCTCTACCCAAGCGAGCGTGGTCGTCATTAGGTCCTGCAACTTCCCTCGGTCTCCTCCTCATCGGCACCTCTCTCTTGCTTGCCGCTGGAGCCGACGATGGTACGAGCATTTCTTTTCTCCCGTTTATCCGCATCCGTTCCAAGAGCGCAGCGTAGTGTTGCGGTCCTAACAAACGACTCGTGTGCCAAGTATGCTAAAATATGAACGTTGCAGTTTTCGCACAGGTGCGATGACAAGAGCCTTGACATACACAAAGCGAAGGTTAAAAACAAAACTGTGGTCACATTTGGCAAGTCGTTGAACAAATCCCGTCCGTTCTCGCTCTGTGTCCGACCACCTCCATGACGTCCAATTTCAAATGTAGGAACGCTGCGGATTGACTGCGGAAGCATGGTCGAGAGCGGCGTGGCAGCGGCAGCGGGATTCATGGCGGACCAATACACGTCGGACGGCACGCCCTTCACCATCGCGCCGGGCTCCACCAACGCCGCCAATCTTACGGCGACGCTCTCCCCTGCTGAGCTCACGGGCCGCGCCTTCTCCAACACCACCGGCGGTTGCTACAAAATCCCGCGTGCCAATGGCACCTACTTAGTGCGGCTCGGCTTCGCGTACCTAAACTTCGACAAGCAGGCGAACCCGCCCGTGTTCAACGTGACGGCTCAGGGCGTGCCTGTTCTGACGATTAATTTGATGACGGCGGAAGGAATGCAGAATAATGAGACGGCGAAGACGGCGACGGCGTACTACCGCGACTTCATGGTGTTCACGGATACGGGATTCCTCGACGTGTGCCTCGTGCCCTTCTCCTCCTCCGTCCAGCCTGCCTTCGCGAACCCCTTGGATGCCATCCTCTCCTTCCCCCCAGACACCCAGTCGCGCACTCCGCTGCTTAACACCCTCGAGGTCTTCCCCACCCCCAGCACCGTGTACCAGGGCTTGCCCAAAAAAGAAGGCGTGATTCTCGCGAACGCCATGCGAGTCAACATTGGAGGGCCGACCGTCGGGCCGGACATGGTGGGGCGCGTGTGGGACGCCGACGACCGCTCGTTCCTGCCGCGGAGCTTCCGCGCGACGAACGCGACGGTGAACAACACGGACGACCCGGACAACTTCTGGCCGCAGAGCATGCTGCGCACGTACCGCGAATCCATCAACGTGGATAGTGCGGCCGGCACGGAGATGCAGTACTCGGGTCTCGTGGTCCCCATGGACCCCACCAACCTCTTCCTCGTCATCCTTAACTTCATGGATCCTAACCCCGCCGCCAAGCGCGGCCAGCGCTTGATGGAACTGCAGCTGTCGTGGGGCGACGGTCAGACGATCGCCATTGGCCCTCCGCCGGACACGCTGGACATCGTTAACTTCACGCAGCCGTTGACGGCGATGGCAGTGACGCACGTGGTGGCGATGGAGAACCCCTTCTCGTACTTCCAGAGCGTGGCTGTGGACCTGCGCGCCAGCAACAAGAGCCTGCCCGCCGTGATCAGCGGCATGGAGGTGTATGAAGCCATCCCCATTGCCCTGCCTCCCCCTGCTGCCGCTGATGCTGGCGCTGATGCTGGCGCCCGCAGAGCTCGCCCCATGACGCTAACAGCAGAGGAGGCGCATGTGTTGCCCCCTCCTCCCCCGCCTCCTGCGACCAGCAGTGGTAAGCACTGAGTGCAGAGAAGACTCACAGCGTCGCCCACATGCCCTCGTGCAGTTGACCATGTTCGTCAGGCAATGAGGTCGCACGTCAGCTGTTTTTGCACTTTCCCTTGTGCTCTTTGCATCCGCAGCCTGCAAAGTGGCTTGCACCTGCGCCCACCTGAATCCGCCTGCTGGTTAATCCAATGCCACCCCGCTTTCACCCCTGTGGCAGGCCTGTCAGGTGGAAGCATTGCTGCAATCGTGATGGGTGTGCTGCTGGGCGTGGTGCTGATTGCAGGGGGCGTCTATTTTGTCATCCAGCGCAAGAAGAACCCAACGCCTTTCACCAAATTCGGTTAGTACCGTAGCTGAATTATCAGTGCTGTGAGATTTCCTTGGCCTTGCTCAACCACTTTCCTTTTGGTCCTGTTGCTTGATTGAAGACGTATGCCAAATGCAACCCCCACCACCCCTGTCCAACTGTACAGATGACGGTGGTGCTGCTGGTGCAAACGCAAATCTGGTCGTTTGAAGGAAAATGTGGTTTCTGAAGTCTAGGTGCCTTGCATGTGCCTTGTTCATGTGTACCGTATGTAGCTTTAGTACTACTGCTGTGTTTTTCACGTGGGTGGCATTTCCGAAAGGGTTAATGTCAGATGGCTCCGTATATTTCCAGACCACCTTATTTTGCCTGTGATGGTAGTTAATTTTGCCACCCTAAACCCTACCGTAAGGGGATTTACTCCGGACACATACAGCAGGATATCCACTTCTAGCAAAACATAAGGTTATGGTACAATAGGGCGACCAAGAATCCCATTGCACATTCAGTCTTACTCAATATACTAATGCTTGCGCATGTAGCTAACTGCCATCATTCAAAAGGCTTTGCTCATCAAGTCTGAAATAGCAAGCAACAGCCGACCCAGCAACTTTGAGTACTGCATGTGGTGCAGATAGTGACGTATTGTTGACTGCTGCAGCAGCACGTTACGAGAGCCTCAGCATCCATTGGCCAAGACCCATAAGGCAGACAAGCACAATGGCGAACTCAAAGCCGAGGAAGCACGATCCTGTGCCGGTAACTGCTACTGCTACTGCTCGTGCTCTCTCTCGTATATGATGCTGGCACTTCACCGTGACATGGCCACTGCAGTGTGTGCAGCTCCAACAGCAGCAGCCATGTCATTGTAGTGCTCTATACACCCCCCATTGCCATCCACCATGTCTGGCTCTCCCATCCCCACAGACCCACCATGCCCAAAGTCCATGCTGCGAGGCATATGACTGCCCCCACCCATGCCATTCATAGCCCCATTGGGAAGGGACATGCCGCCTGGGCCTGATGGCATGAAGACACCTCCCAGCATGCTCATGTGGGCGGCTGCCAAGTCATGAGTGCTGCCCCGCAACTCCATGGGCGCCATGCCATCGAGTGGCCGGAACTGCATGTGTGGCGGCACACCTGCCGACGGGCCTGCTGTGCCTAGGTGAGGCGGCAGGGCGTAGAGGCGAGAGGGGTTCATGAGCCCTGGCGGCTGCATCAGCATGCTCAATGACGCGGGCGACGGGCCGTCAAGCCGGCGTAGCCCAGGGATTGCCATGGACACTGGACCCATGCCCGCACCAGCAGCTGCTGCAGCAGCTGCAGGGACCAAGCCGTTGGCTGCTGCTGCACTGGTTGCTCCTCCCAGCCCTGCGGCAGCCGCAGCTGCTGCCATGCTGGCACTTGCAACTAAAGCAAACAAGGCAAGATAGTAGAAGCATGGGAGATAGGAGTATGTGAAATCGGATCCTCAGGTTCCCAAATAACTATCTGTGTATGAGATAAGGTGTCCAAGGATGAGCGGACAAGCATGGATGGGGCTTACATGAGTCAAGCTCGGGTTTGATCAGCCCGTTGCTCGCATACGCCTGACTTAGCATCGCCCCATTCCCACTGAAAGCTCCGCCCATCATCCCTGCATGGCCCGATGCAGCAGCGGCAGCGGAGGCAGCAGCAGCGGCGCTGACAGGGAGGAAGGAAGCCGTCATCATGTCGGCAGCGGAGCCGGGCGCGTGGGGGTGCGCGTGAGGGTGCCCATGAGGCGCGTGGGCGAGGCCGGAGGGAGAGCCTGTGATGGTACGCAGACGAGAGATCTCCGTCTGCGCCATGGCTAGCTCCGTTTGCAGCCGCACCACCTGCACACACACCCCACCAACAGATAACTGACGCGTCAGGTGAGAATTACGATCCAAATGTTTAAACCCGCTCAGTCGGGTGGTTGCGTACCCACTGTCTTTAAAGCGTCAACAGAGATAAGAATTCGAATTAATGACGCAAGGAGACACTGGGAAGAGAAAGATATGCGATCAGGTTGATATGAGCACGGGGGGAAGCAGGAGTAAAGATCAGGAGCGGACTAACGAAGAATAATCGGATAAATTCACGCTCGCGTCGCGTACCTGTTGTTGCAGCGCAAAGAGCGCTCCGACGCAGCCGTAGACCGGATCGCTGATTCGGGCCTCTGCCTCGTACGACAGGCTGTTCACGGCGTCCTCTCGGCTGGGCGGCGGCAGGTCCTGAAGCAACTTGCCCACGTTGCTGGCGCCGAAGATGCGGTGCACGTTGGCGAATCGCAGGCTCTGATCGGGCGAGAAGTACGCCGCGAACACGCAGGTGCTCGTACACTTGCGCCGCAAGAACTTGCATGCGCCACACGGAGATATCGACGGCGTCGCTCCCGCAGCGGCCGCAGCAGCAGCGCCAGCGCTGCCGTTGGACGCAGCCGCAGTGGTTGCAGCACATCCTGCGTCGTTATTGCCTAGCGCGGACGCGGATGACGTGGTAGTAGCGGGCATGGTTGACGACAACGTGCCAACCAGATTCGAGGATCCAACGCCTGAGATTGGCGCTGCGCCAGCCGCATTCGCGTTACTGGACTCCGAAGCACAGCTCAATGAAGCCGGCACTCCCGTGTCTGCTGTGGGGCCGGCTGCTAAATGAGGCTGAACCAAGCAAGTGTCTGATCCAGGCCGAGACAAGCTTCCGATCCGTCCCAACGAATTGACAGCCTCTCCGTGTTGATTGCTGAAGTCGTGTGGTGCAGCTACGTGACCTGCCGAGTGACTCCCTTGAGGCCCGCAGCCAGCTCCCATAGACGTGCTCACTGGCACCGCGGCTGGCGGGAGTGGGCTTAGCTGTGGCGACAGGGGCACAGAAAGCATGGATGAGGTGTCAGCACAAGGGGAGGCACCACTAGGAGGATAAAAGCCGTTTTGGAGCGAAACTGACGCCATTTGCATGTCCATTGTGTCTACACCAGAGTCTTCGCGACTGAGGTGTTAAAGCGAAGCGATCGGTCGATAATCAGGCGAGATCCGATCTACAGCGACCGCTACAGGAATGACTACCTGAAGTGGAACGATATGGCCACTGCGTCGGTGCAGCAATCAAGAAAGTCTGCGAAAGAAGGATCACGTGCGGTAGACTACCCTACGTAGATCCCGCTTGAGGTACCGAAAGGTTATGGCACAGCCCGTACAGCGCTTCAATCAGAGCGATCAGTTCGGTGACGCAAGGAATGTCGACGAATAATCTGGTGGCTCAAGACCACGGGTCAGAGAGAATGACTAAGGGCTCGTACTCCGTTGCTTGATAGCGAGAGTTAGCGATCCTGATACAGGCTGTGTTGAAATCAAACGTCTGTTCAGCGATAGCTTTCCCTTAGCTCCCTGAGAGATTAAGATTTCGTGCTGGTGGATTGATGAAGAATGCGTGGAGCAGTGTGTCCAGCCAGAGACAGCAGTGGCGAGAGCCTTGCGGAAGCAGAAGAGGCAGAGAAAAGAGGTTTTGGCGGAGCAGGTGTACAAAACAAATTCCGTGTTGCGGGCGGAGTATTTTGTCAGCCCAGCGCACAGCCCAGTGGGCCGCGCACGCCAGTCACGGGGACGGGGAAGACCAAGTGGAAAGGCGGTGGGGGTTTCCCGAGGGATTGGGGGAAAGGAGGGGTGGGCCATAGGAGTACACCCTGATGAGTCGCTTCAATTGGAGATCCTGATGGACGGACACCCTACAAGTCCTCAGCTCCTAGATTATGGGACGGCCGACCTGTGGTTGAGAGAGATGGGCGCGCCCTATTGGTTGACTCCTGGACCTGATACTTTCGGGGAGAGGGTGGAGGAGGGAATTGATCAAGCAAATCGGAGTAACATTTATTCGGGATTTCGTGTGTGTCAAATGAGTCGCCGCTCGTTACAAGGGAGGTCTGGGTGCAGGGATTAGTCCATTTAGCACTGTGAGGGCTCGAAGAAGGAAGGAACCAGTCGCTAGGCAGAGCGCTGTTACCCTCTCAAAATGGTTTAAAAAACGAAAACGGACGGCTGAGCGGTGACAGAGTGGCGTCCAGCAGGGAAGATGGTGCTGCGCCATCCATCCAAGTGGACGACATTGGTGGACGAACAAACGCTATTTGTTACGAGTGCAATTGAGTGATCGAGCGAGGATTGCACTATCTAGGCAAAAAATACAATGAGCGAAAGGATTGAGCAAAGAATATACAGCGAAGCTACGGTGATGACGGTAACGTGTGAAATTGGGGTGCGCGACGGGCCTGGTGCCGAGGTTGGGGGACTGTCGAGGCGGAGGTCCGGAGCGCGGGTTACCAACCGAACCGTGAGCTTGGGTCGCATCGTGAACAGTGGCGGGAATGGGGTCGAGGCGAATGTTGCGAGTGGTAACGGGATATTGTGGGGTGCTGTTGGCGGGAACAGTGGTGTACGCGCTGAGCAGGGACGCGAAGTAAGGAAAAGTGATTTTCCTTACACTACCCCCCTCCCCAAGGAAGCTTCTCTTACGATAGCGCGTATATATCCCGGAAATTTCGGCTGCGCAGATACTCGTTGAGGACGGGGTGGTTTTCGATTTTGTCCAGTGGAACCCAACTGTCCTCAGTCGGCGTGCGATCTCTCCGGCGGATTAGAAATTCGACCCTTCGAGCTCCTCGTGGGTCGCGAAATCGGTGGCTCAGAATCTTTTCGGGCGTGATGACTGGTTCGGTTGGTGGTCGTGTCATGCTGGCTGGGCGATTTCGGGCCAGTTGGCTGGTGAACATATAAATTTTTTCAGGGTAGAGAAGGCAGCATGCTCTTTCTCCCCCCACGTAGAAACTGTCAGGATGTTATTCTCTAGCCTGTAGTGAGGTGCTCTATAGCGAGTACAACCCATCTAGGGTTTGCTATATGTATCCTCATTGCTGCTAGTGAAATCCTCTTCTTTTGCCTAAACTTCCTCTTGCCTAGCTAGGGCTTACCTAGCTATGGCTCCTCGTTCTACTTACTATCTTAACATGGTGTCAGAGCAGTTACGCTCTTGGCCTGTG